ATAGCTTTGCCTGCTATCCCCATGTCGTAATACATCCGATATTTATGATAACTGTCCTGCAATCCATAGTACCATGATATACGCATAAAAGGTAGATTGTTGACGGACCAAAACATTACAGTTACCAAGGTTAATCAATAGTACTGTGATTGGTAGCATTATCTCATCAAGATATCATCTTTTTACTACGGCAGTATAACATACGTAGTCACCATCCTGTTCCTAAGAAAGTGACATTACATAAGGATATCTTGTCTTACTATCCATGTAAAGTTTACATGTAGAATTTTCCTATGTTCGTTGTTCATCCTCACCTCATTGACTTTCATTAAGAATTATAGCTTTGTTTACACAGCATGTTTATCATTTATATGTAATTCTGGTAAATACTAGCCACAATATACCGCTCGGCTTGAGAGAACGTAACCCTGGTAAATATTAGCCACAATATACCACTCGGCTTGAGAGAACGTAACCCTGGTAAATATTAGCTACAATATACCGCTCGGCTTGAGAGAACGTAACCCTGGTAAATATTAGCCACAATATACCACTCGGCTTGAGAGAACGTAACCCTGGTAAATACTAGCCACAATATACCACTCGGGTTGAGAGAACGTAACCCTGGTAAATATTAGCCACAATATACCACTCGGGTTGAGAGAACGTAACCCTGGTAAATATTAGCCGCAACATACCGCTCGGCTTGAGAGAACGTAACCCTGGTAAATATTAGCCACAATATACCACTCGGGTTGAGAGAACGTAACCCTGGTAAATACTAGCCACAATATACCGCTCGGCTTGAGAGAACGTAACCCTGGTAAATATTAGCCGCAATATACCGCTCGGCTTGAGAGAACGTAACCCTGGTAAATATTAGCCGCAACATACCGCTCGGCTTGAGAGAACTTAACCCTGGTAAATATTAGCCGCAACATACCGCTCGGCTTGAGAGAACGTAACCCTGGTAAATATTAGCCGCAACATACCGCTCGGCTTGAGAGAACGTAACCCTGGTAAATATTAGCCACAGTATACAGCTCGGCTTGAGAGAACGTAACCCTGGTAAATGAGAGAACGTAACCCTGGTAAATATTAGCCACAACATACCGCTCGGCTTGAGAGAACGTAACCCTGGTAAACATTAGCCACAATATACCGCTCGGCTTGAGAGAACGTAACCCTGGTAAATTTTAGCGGTAATATACCGCTCGGCTTGAGAGAACGTAACCCTGGTAAATATTAGCTACAATATACCGCTCGGCTTGACAGAACGTAACCCTGGTAAATATTAGCTACAACATACCGCTCGGCTTGAGAGAACTTAACCCTGGTAAATATTAGCTACAATATACCGCTCGGCTTGACAGAACGTAACCCTGGTAAATATTAGCTACAATATACCGCTCGGCTTGACAGAACGTAACCCTGGTAAATATTAGCCACAATATACCGCTCGGCATGAGAGAACGTCACCTAAGCCCGATCAGTTGAGCGTCAGACAAATTAAACCCTAGAAATTGCAAAATCATGTATCGCCGTTCACTTTCTATAGGAAAAAGAAAGCTCCCATTACCAAAAGTCTAACACAGAAATAAAAAGTCTGTTTCTCTTAACTAAATTCTATCATGTCCCAGGTTCGAATTCTGACGGAGTCATTGGAAATAATGACATTTGTTATGTACTTCCATGGATATTTGTTAGCCAGGATAAAAATGATTATTGTTTGTTTATGTCGTATACAATTAACGGATTGGTGGCATTTTCCTTTGTAACATTTCACTAGTAATTAACTTGTAATTTCAGTAATTAGTGAACCTCATGGTGTCAGATTTTGCGTATTGAGTATCTTTATCGTGTACAGTTAACATCGTTTAGTCCTTCAAACACCGATGATCTGTAGGAGTCGGACCAAGTTTAAGGACAGAGGAGTTAACGGCCCTGACGAGGGTGATAAGGGAGGTAACTCATTGACATTTTCACACTAAAAAATGTTCCGACGGTATTGGGACCAGAGGAATAAACGGCCCTGACGTGTGTAATAAGGGGGATAAGTAATTGACATTGTAACACTAAAATATTTTCCGACGGTGACGGCAACAGAGGAGCTAACGGGCCTTGTATTGTCAGACTTTGTAGATGATAGAATTTATTTTAGAGAAATTCTGTGAAACAGACTTTTTAATTCTGTGTTAGGCTTTTGGTAATGGAGAGGGGGTGGAGGGGCTTTCTTTTTTAATAGAAAGGTAAACGGAGATACACGATTTTGCGTTTCTCTAGGATTTTATTTGTCTGACAGTCAACTGATCGTGCTAAAGTGACGTTCTCTCAAGCCGAGCGGTATATTGCGGCTAATGTTTACCAGGGTTAAGTTCTCTCAAGCCGAGCGGTATGTTGTGGCTAATATTTACCAGGGTTTCGTTCTCTCAAGCCGAGCGGTATATTGCGGCTAATATTTACCAGGGTTACATAAAAATGATAAGCTCGCCGTGTAAATCAACTTGCACTAAAAATGTCAAGTATTCAATATTGAATTGACGATTACAATGTCGTTACTTTTAGATTGAACATATTTAATTGCCATATAAGAATGTCAAAAACATTAGTGACCTCTCCCTACATATATATATATGAATGATGAAATAACAATAGTCATATGATTAAACATCAGAATGTGAAGTATGAAGAAATTATAAATCAATTTATCATGTTTAGTACTACATATAGCTTAATTTACTATAGATTATAAATTTACGAGAGAGAGAGAGAGAGAGAGAGAGAGAGAGAGAGAGAGAGAGAGAGAGAGAGAGAGAGAGAGAGAGAGAGAGAGAGAGAGAGAGAGAGAGAGAGAGAGAGAGAGAGAGAGAGAGAGAGAGAGAGAGAGAGAGAGAGAGAGAGAGAGAGAGAGAGAGAGAGAGAGAGAGAGAGAGAGAGAGAGAGAGAGAGAGAGAGAGAGAGAGAGAGAGAGAGAGAGAGAGAGAGAGAGAGAGAGAGAGAGAGAGAGAGAGAGAGAGACTACCCTCACCCTCCCCTCGACCATCCCGGGAAGTGCTGTGCAGCTTTCACAATCCTATATTGTCATATAATGAGATATTGAGATCACCTTTACAGTGTATGTCAACATTTACACCCCCATCGCACTATCCACTAGCTCTCTTTTTCTGAGTGCATTTCTAAAATCACCATATATATAGGACAAGTAAAAAAGAAATAAGAATCTTCACAGGGATGGCCACATTTACAGTGTCGTAGATCACTATATCAGTGTCTATAGCACAGACAATTAGGCGTTACTCCCATATAAGTGGACTTTTCATGGGTTCTATGTTTTCAACAAACATTTTTTGATAAACTAATTCTAGTGGCGAGTGTCCTTTAAGTATTCATACATATTGCGGCAGTTATTGTTATCTTTGGTGATCATGGATATAGCCGATAACTTACACGATAGTGTTAGTGACATTACACTATAGTGTTAGTGACATTACACTATAGTGTTAGTGACATTACACTATAGTGTTAGTGACATTACACGATAGTGTTAGTGACATTACACGATAGTGTTAGTGACATTACATGATAGTGTTAGTGACATTACAATATAGTGTTAGTGACATTACATGATAGTGTTAGTGACATTACACTATAGTGTTAGTGACATTACACAATAGTGTTAGTGACATTACAATATAGTGTTAGTGACATTACATGATAGTGTTAGTGACATTACACTATAGTGTTAGTGACATTACACAATAGTGTTAGTGACATTACATGACAGTGTTAGTGACATTACACTATAGTGTTAGTGACATTACACGATAGTGTTAGTGACATTACACTATAGTGTTAGTGACATTACATGATAGTGTTAGTGACATTACACTATAGTGTTAGTGACATTACATGATAGTGTTAGTGACATTACACGATAGTGTTAGTGACATTACACACATTATAGTGTTAGTGACATTACACTATAGTGTTAGTGACATTACACTATAGTGTTAGTGACATTACATGATAGTGTTAGTGACATTACATGATAGTGACATTACATGATAGTGTTAGTGACATTACATGATAGTGTTAGTGACATTACACTATAGTGTTAGTGACATTACATGATAGTGTTAGTGACATTACACTATAGTGTTAGTGACATTACACTATAGTGTTAGTGACATTACACGATAGTGTTAGTGACATTACACGATAGTGTTAGTGACATTACACTATAGTGTTAGTGACATTACACGATAGTGTTAGTGACATTACACTATAGTGTTAGTGACATTACACGATAGTGTTAGTGACATTACACTATAGTGTTAGTGACATTACACGATAGTGTTAGTGACATTACACTATAGTGTTAGTGACATTACACTATAGTGTTAGTGACATTACACGATAGTGTTAGTGACATTACACGATAGTGTTAGTGACATAGTCCTACTTTTAGTGTCTGAGACATGGTAGAATGTCATATCAATGTACTATGTATCTTCAGGATTATAAAACGTTACATGGAGTATTCCGCACACTGAATTAATCCTTTGTTTTGCCTTGTTTCTTGTATATTCCCACATTTAGCAGTCATATCGCTAGCGACCCAAACACACACACACACACACACACACACACACACACACACACACACACACACACACACACACACCACCTGTTCTATATTTAGAATTGGTGACCCCGAATGCACGTTTTACCTGCCGTCATTAGCCGTGTATTTTTAGACCGACTATGACCTGACATAGGCGCGCCATCACGGTAAAGGGCCATACTTCTTTGATCAATAAAATGTCAAAATCTATATGGAAAGGGGCACACTATTGGATGATTTTAAAAGAACACCTATTTCACGAGTGTATATACTGAACCGTGTTATTATATGTGAATCTTTATTATCTTGTTCTGTACTCAAAATGCATATGGACAATAAAATCAACTGTGGTTGGTAATACACTTTATTATCCCACTTCACGCACTTTGTGATTTTCAAAATAAAACACTTTATCTGTCATGCTCCTAAAAATGTTTCTAAAAAACAATCATTCAAAACATTTTAAATGCATTATCTGGATTTTATGACGTATCCCAATTGTTTCTACAACTTTTACACCAAATAAGCAAAATTGGTTCTTTTATACAAATGAGTTTAACATTCTGAATAACAGACATAATTGTCTTTAAACCATTACAAACAGATTGTTTTCTCAATTCCGTATACTTCAATGCCCATTCGGACTTAACTTGATATCACCAGATCAGGAAAAGCGTCAAGTTAACCATCACTATCATCATGATGAGATCTTGGTGAATGATGTGGATCAGATGGAACGTTTCAAGAAGTATTATCTTAAATCATTTCTTCAGGTAAGAATTTGGAGAAACCAACACTGACACTCTCAAAACAGACCTACAAACCATGTATAGAATAATCAACAAACTATACTTCTTGATATGGAAACAAACATATTTGATAATATCTTTTATCTGTTGAAGAACGGAATGACAAAATCCTAATCCTTCTAGCGTCAATTTTATTTTGACATTAAAAAATCTTCAGATAATCAACCTTAAATGGCGGTTGTCATTGTCTGTGTATTGTTGCCAATATGACTCCCCATAAATATCAAATCTAGGTTTTATCATCAAGTTGCATCAAGCTGTAGTACAAAAATGATACACATTTCAAAAAGACCTTCAATACCTAATTTACAAAATATCCAAGAGCTGAAATCAAATAGCCAATATTTAACTTTCGACTAATTACACATTTTTTGGGGGGTTTGACACTAAACATTTTATCAAGAAAATGCAATCCTAACGAAACAACAACATGAAAAAGTGTGAAATTTACAACATACTTCTTATTGATTTCAAAGTGGGCATTGCAATTTTACAATATATCTTACCTCAAATGTACAGTTCATCTTAAAGCAAGTGTTTCACATGATATATGTAAAAGAAGCTCCACATCTTAACAAATGAGGTAATATGTTTATATATAGCCTAACATAGTAAAATAGTATTTAACAAATCCAACAAAAAAGTTTTACATGTGGCATCTATACAACAAAGGCAAACATATTACGTCATAAATGTCTGAGTTATCCTTCTATAAATATCGGTCAGTGCACCTTTTTCAGTTGCCTTAAGAAATATCTAAATATAAGTACACTGAAATAAAACTGTAATATTGAAAATAATGGTAACTAACACTAAAAGTTTATCACAGAAACAGTGAATGCTGTAATGCTGACATAAAACAATGTAATCCTGCTAGCAGATATCCAACTGTTGCGATTCATAGCAGACCAAATTTGAAGTACACTATTCTGTTTCTCAGCGGACAGAATGCGAAGCGTTCTGTTCCTCAGCAGACAGATAAAATCGTAACATGATTCGTAGCAGATATGACCGATCTGTTCCATATTCTAACTAACAGAAAATTACTTTCCTGTTTCTCAACAGACAAAATATGAATTGTGTTACTCAGCTGGCAGAGAGGACGTGTTCTGATTCATAGCTACACAGCTACACCAGGGTCCACATTGTGACTCATAGAAAACTATTATCAAAAATTGCGAAAATTAATCGTCATGAACCAAGAAATGGATAAAAAGTACAGAAAAGTAAAGTCGGTTTCCGAAAATATAACAGGGTGTCGTAAAATAAATCTCCTCCAATGTGGACATCGCAAAAATTAGCGGCCGCGAAAAGTAGTTAGTTTACAGGAGGCTGCTGTTTTTTAAAGTCCGTATCATAAAATCAAATCTACAATAAAAAAAAACTGTACACAAAAAATATAACGTATAGAAGGTAACACTCTTCGGTTTGGTATTAATATCTAACTATGCTGTATAACTAAAATAGATTACTAGACTGACTAACATGCTCGCAATATATAATACGTTATCATAAAAATACATTTACACCTGTGTCAACAACAAGAATGTCAATTAAGGTGTATTTTCGAAAATCTTAAATACATAGTCATCATAAAAGAGATTCAGTAGTTCAACAGATCAACAAAAACGTATACCGATTTTTTTTTACTTCGAAACAGAAACTGAAATATTGCACATGGAAACTTTTTTCCCATAATTTACTTTGATAATTTGACTGGAAATTTTATTCTGATAACAGGCCCTGTAATGATAATATCAGTTCAGAGCATAAATTCAATTTCACAAGTTTGACAGTAAATTACAGATCATATATATCTATAATGGCCATCATGTACACTTAAATCAATGTGTTACCTAACACTGTCACTTCTATTGTCATCATGTACACTTATAGCAATGTGTTACCTAACATTGTCACTTCTATTTCACAAGGTCATAGAGTACCAACAAAATAGCTCTGTTTAATAATGTTGATTAAAGCAAAACTAATGTCTGTCATGTAGATCTGACTTCCCGTAGAAATAACTCTCCTACAAAATCTATAACAGCAAAGTGCGCAATCGTAAATCAAACAGGAGAAAAAAATTTGAAGTAAAAGAAAATATATCATAATAATAAAATCGAACAGAAAATTTGAAAAAAAACGACCACGTGAAATACCCACACCCACACTCATACAGGTTTCACAAAGTGTAATAGATTCACATTATGATCATATCAAAACTTCTCGTGAAAACCATCACATTATTTATATGTGTTGATGGTACCATCTGCAAGACAAGGCATTAATTACAATTGAAAGTAACAATACTAAGATCTTTAAGTAAAGAAACTTCGAGCAGACGCACACCATAAGAAATTCAAATCAACATCATTTTCATATTCTATTAACATTTTGAAACACCTGAAAAACTTCACACACAAAAAAAACATATTTCTGTGGTAACATGCACAAATAATTGGTATGTACTGTAAACTCGTATATCGTCGCGAGACTCAATTTTGTGATCTTAAAAAAATATTTCGTTGACACCTGATTTCCTGGCTAAATAGAATTCAATAAATCTACTTTTACTAATCTAAACAGATTGTGTACATATAGATTCATGGATTAAGAGAATTGTACAAAAAAACAAACAACTGAATAGCAAATTTTACCACAAATAGAGAGTTAGATAAGGTAGAGCCATTAGGCAACATTTGAATGTAACAACTACAAGTTTAATACCCGTTACATAATCACGTGTTCCCAAAACATGTTGACTAGCAATAGTGCTAACGTCAAATACATATACATGTGATATGATCCTTTGATTAGCAAATAGGTCTTCTCTTATCAGTCGCCGTTCATAACACATCATTTAGGGATACTGCATACAAAAACGACCGCAAGGCTCAGATTGTTTTGTTCCCATCTTACAAAATTTAAAATCGAAGACTATAATAGATCATTACTTTTGTAAGTGATGTTAAGATTTGTTTGCGCATAATGAAAAATGTAACTTATAACTATACATTAATCGATGATTTTTTTTCGTCGCTGTGTGGTAACATTTAAAAGAGCGAATACAGTAATAGTTGTAGTGAACACACGGGTAAACATATTTTCAAAGTGAGGACTGTGGTTTATATCCTAAATGTCAAAATATTTAAAGAAATCAGTATCTCTGCTTCGAAATATTTGTCGTAAAAGATGATGTGTCACTAAAGTATCTTTTTCGATGCAAACCATCAAAACCTTTTAAAACTCTTGTAGGCAGTGAAAATAAAGAAGCACTGTTTTGGATATATACTACCTCATTCGACGTAGAATAATAATGCAAAAAAGCATAGAAATCATTGTAAAAATACAAACATGTGATCCTCTTAGAAGTCAGTAAAGTGGAACAGGTCACAGGAAGTCTATTGCTACACCTCGGAGAAGTTCTAAAATCTAATGATTGAGAAATTGTATCAGTGAAGTAACGTAGGTCACAAATTCTAACCCGGATAAATAGACAGACATATGTCCGAATAAACAGACAGACCTATGTCCGAATAAACAGACAGATATATGTGTATAGTAGTACATACAGAAAAGGCTATCAGATAGAAATATGTACGTACGCACCGAACAATATGTACGTAAGTACGGAAAAGACGAATTCTGAATGTCCTTAATGTTGATGGATATTAAACAGAAAATATAAATACAAACATGTTAAGATACACAAGATTATTAGGATATCCTTACGATAACAAAAATACAAGTGATCATGTGATAACACGAATAATCTGAGCTGAAGTTTTGGCAGTTTTGAACAGATTTATAACAATATGAAATATTTTGGCTCTGTTGTGTGTCAAGCACATAAAATAAAAAAAATTCTTCAATTGATATCTCTGTTAACAAACTACAATCTCTTGAATTCTTATACTTCTGTGGAAATATTTTACTTAAACTTTTGTAGAAATCCTTCATGGAAAACTTTGAATCGTTCCAGCATATCCGCCAGTTGTTCCACCGTTGGAAGAATAGTGGTCCTGTAAAATAAACATAATTATGTTTTATAGTCAGTATGCTAAGTTCAAACCATTAATCTAACCATTCTCATTGATTGGTCATTTGTAAATTTACATGTCAATATATGTCGGATAACAGTCTCTGATTATGTTTGTAAATGCGAATGAAATGGATAGATACCGACATAATTATAACAAATGTGAACAATTATTGATTTTACTACAGTCATTAAAGTAACAGAGCGCATCTTTTTCTAAACATACCCCTTAAATCGTATTATGAAAATATAGTGTTCTAAAATAACTTATTTTTATTTGACTCGTTTGTATGTTATGTATTTAAAAGGGTTTATCTTTAGAAGTAACGAATGACACTAATTGGGGTTTTTTTAATAAGAATTATTGAATTGCTAGATTTTCTATCCTCAGTAAAATATTTCAATTTTCATGGAATAGTAGGAAGTGAATATCCTTATATCTAGAATCTAAGATAAGATTTGTATCTCACCTGAAATGATATGTGCCAGGTCTTTGTCCGAATCCAGACCCAGGAACCACACATACACCAGTCTCTTGTAGCAGATTCTCACAGTACATGACATCAGCAGGCTTTCCCAGGGCCTGTTTAAAATATACAATACTAATTATGGGTCACAGTATCTTATAAGAAAAAACGAAAACCCGCTTGTTTATAAAACTCATATAAGTTTGTGCAGATCACCTTAACTGATAGGTGTCCATGAGATCATATTCAAAGGAAGAAGATGTCCACAAGGTGACTCCAGGGAGAAGATGTCCATAAGGTGACTTCGGCTATATTCTTAGTTCGCCATAGAGATCATATACTACATCATAATGTACTTATATTAATATGCGTCCATGAAGGTTCTATATGCGCTAACAAGTGACCTAGCGGCCTTGACAGTCACCTGAGATAAGTAATATTGCTTATAAAGGTTATAGGGATACATTTTCAGTAGTATTGAAGTGCACCTCTCCCCATCTCAAAAAAAAGAAAGAGCTACATTGATGATAGTAAGATCCTAAGGTATTGGAATTCACAATTTTAGTAAAAGCATCCTATGACCTTCTAGTTGTTCCACCGCTAGAAAAAGAGTGGTCCTGTCAAATAAACATGGTGTAATTATGTTTTTATAATGAGTACACAATGTTCAAACCATTAATTTTATTATCTAACTCTTCTAACCCTTCTCATTGATTGGTCAGATGTAAATTTACAATGTAATAGTAATTATATGTCACATAACAGTCTCTGATTATGTTTGTAAATGCAAATTACCCTTCTGTCCCAAAAGAGTATTTCATTCTATCATTACTGGGCGTTGAAAAGATTTTGAAATTTTGAGTTTATTTGATAGGGAATGGTGACCATCCAATCTACAGTTTTGGTTCATTTTTGGCCAAGGAGGGTTTCAGCAAAATTTCTTTGGTTCAGGTGTTTTTGAGAAGTCGAAAATGTTAAATGTTTACGGATGCACGATGCCGAACAAAATGCGATCATGATATGTCACCCATGATAGTGATAAAAGCGAGTGCACGTAATTCTGATCTTCTGGAATATATAAGAGGAGAGAGTAAAACCCCCGCTTAGGACTTGTGACTACATAGGTGTTCATAAGACCGTCGTTGTGACTTTACCCGACGTTAGTCCATAAAAGTTTTGTTTGGAACAGTAACATACGCTTCTTAATTTGACCAAGAATGAAGTTCATAAGTTTCTCAGATAACATGTTCGTGTACAAATCGTTTTTAACATTATAAAGTATACAGTGAAGTCAAAGTGGCGAGTTCCGTACTTGTTGTTGTACTTCATACTTATCTCATATGGTTCATTTTTGGTCGTACATATGTATGCCATTTACTGTGGTATCAGTTCAAAAATTTTTTCATACTTCATTTCCATACCTAGTTTCAAATGCATGCAACAACAACAACGACGACTACGACAACAACATGATATAAACACGTCAACAAAAATTCAAACTTGAAATCCATGAAACAAGGACGTTATATATATATAATCTTCTAAATGCAAACGTTGGTTCTTGTTTTGTTTTTATTTTGTTTTGTTTTTTCCCTAAAATGATTTGATAACGAAATGACAATAAATGAATCAATACAAGTAATTATTTGCAATGTCATTTTCACTTTCAAAATTATTTATATAACATAACACCATGATGCATGTATGATCATTATGTATATCTGGACGGTACAAGTGTAACTCAGATTACTTTTGTTTCGAACAAAAGGGGACTTTAAATAAGAGATGACATACGTGCGTTCAAATAAAATTCCTTAGAATGCACTTAAACAAAATGTTCCCAGAACACTACTTTCACTTTCATCTTTAGAAAGAAAATACAATGTTGGGAGTCATTTCATGCTTATATTAAACACTACTTTCACTTTCATCTCTAGAAAGATAATACAACGTTGGTAGTCATTTCATACTTTTATTAAACAAAGTTACCGTAAGAATTCTAAAAGCATTATCAAACTTGTTTTTTATAGTTAATCTTACTACATCTTTGTTCCCCCTTTATATTACTACATCATTGTTCACCCCGCCCCCCCATCTTACTACATCTTTGTTCCCCCTTTATATTACTACATCATTATTCACCCCGCCCCCCCCATCTTACTGCATCTTTGTTCCCCCTTTATATTACTACATCATTGTTCACCCCGCCCCCATCTTACTACATCTTTGTTCCCCCTTTATATTACTACATCATTGTTCACCCCGCCCCCATCTTACTGCATCATTGTTCACCCTCCCATCTTACTACATCTTTGTTCCCCCTTTATATTACTACATCATTGTTCACCCCGCCCCCCATCTTACTACATCTTTGTTCCCCCTTTATATTACTACATCATTGTTCCCCCTTTATATTACTACATCATTGTTCACCCCGCCCCCCATCTTACTGCATCTTTGTTCCCCCTTTATATTACTACATCATTGTTCACCCCGCCCCCCATCTTACTACATCTTTGTTCCCCCTTTATATTACTACATCATTGTTCACCCCGCCCCCCATCTTACTGCATCATTGTTCAGCCTCCCATCTTACTACATCTTTGTTCCCCCTTTATATTACTACATCATTGTTCACCCCGCCCCCCATCTTACTACATCATTGTTCACCCTTCCATCTTACTACATCATTGTTCACCCTTCCATCTTACTTCACCATTGTTCACCCTTCATCTTACTACATCATTGTTCACCCTTCATCTTACTACATCATTGTTCAATCCCATCTTACTACATCATTGTTCACCCCCATCTTACCACACCATTTTTCACCTTTCCATCTTACTACATCATTGTTCACCCTTCCATCTTACTACACCATTGTTCTATCCCATCTTACTACATCATTGTTCATCTCCCATCATACCACACCATTGTTCACCCTTCCATCTTACTACATCATTGTACACTCCCCCATCTTACTACATCATTGTTCACCCTCCCATCTTACTACATCATTGTTCACCCTTCCATCTTACTACACCATTGTTCTATCCCATCTTACTACATCATTGTTCATCTCCCATCTTACCACACCATTGTTCACCTTTCCATCTTACTACATTATTGTTCACCCTCCCATCTTACTTCACCACTGTTCACCCTTCCATCTTACTACATCACTGTACACTCCCCCATCTTACTACATCATTGTTCACCCTCCAATCTTACTGCATCATTGTTAACCCTCCCATCTTACTACATCATTGTTCACCCTCCCATCTTACTACACCATTGTACACCCTTCTATCTTACTACATCATTGTTCACCCCCATCTTACTACATGATTGTTCATCCTTCCATCTTACCACATCATTGTACACCCTTCTATCTTACTACATCATTGTTCACCCTTCCATCTTACTACATCATTGTTCAATCCCCCCATCTTACTACATCATTGTTCACCCCCCATCTTACTACATCATTGTTCACCGGTCCATCTTACTACATCATTGTTCACCCCCATCTTACTACATCATTGTTCACCGTTCCATCTTACTACATCATTGTTCACCACCCCATCTTACTACATCATTGTTCATTCTTCAATCTTACTACATTAATGTTCACCCTTCCATCTTACTACACCATTGTTCACCCCCCAATCTTACTACACCATTGTTCACCCTCCATCTTTCTATATCATTGTTCACCCCCCTCCATCTTACTACATCATTGTTCACCCTCCATCTTTCTATATCATTGTTCAACCCCCCTCCATCTTACTACACCATTGTTCACCCTCCATCTTTCTATATCATTGTTCACAACCCCTCCGCCATCTTACTACATCATTGTTCACCCTCCATCTTTCTACATCATTGTTCACCCCCATCTTACTACATCAGGGACATACTGAACTTACCATATCATTGATACGTCTAATTATACACCGAATAAAGTAAGTATGAGACACTGGCTTGATCACAACATGTCAAGTAAGATTAATATAGAATCTTCGCTTTCTGAAAAGTAAAGATTCAGTTCAGATATCGTCTAACCTTTCTTAGTATCATGGTTTCTCTTTCATTTTGAAATATCCTAAAATGCTCTATATATAGATAGATATATTTTAAAAGGCATGATCATACTATCTTCGAAACACTCTATTTTGTACAAGTGAAGTTCATAGACATATATTACCTCTTAAGATTAAATTATCGACGAATAGTTTAACATATTAGTATCCATAGCAGACTTAATCACGAATTGTGTACATGCCATTGTGGAAATACCCAAATCGATTAAAAGCTTGGTAATTTTCACTGTTAGAAACATTGGCTAGTCAGTGGAGCTCTTCTTTCCCTACCTACAGATATTACCGGACAAGTATAGCAAAGGAAAGCCAATTCGGTAAGTAAAATTCTTACATCATCAATACAAATTTTGTTTCTGTGATCTCTAGTGTAATTATCTCAAATAGCGTTAAAATGTAATTAATACCGGACGTCTTTATGCGGTAAACCCTGGGATACACGTTTAAAGAACGTGTCTATCATACAAGGAATTTATCATACAACCGTGAAGTAGAATACAGAAATCCTTGGTATCAAGGCTTTAGTACAGATCATGTCGGGAGTTTCTCAATGACATTTCAATAATAACCATTGCCGTTCTGACTTCGTTTCTCAAAGTTGTTGAAATATTATAAATGGGTTGTATTCACAAGACACAAACTAATACCAACAGCATATAATATCTGTTTTATTTGCTTTGAAACACAGCTTTGACTTAGAAATAGATATGAACTAAATGGCAAACATAATGAAAGGCATCAGCATAATATTATTGATACAAAATGCTTTGTAAGGTACCTTAATATAGTTAATACTAACAAGAAAACAAAACACTCGGCCGCTGTAACACATAGCCGATATAGCTCACCGGAGTTATACCGGAACACAAATCTATCGATAATCTTGGTTCGGGGTACCATTGCATGTAGGGGACATATTACAGCGTCACGTACTGGATAGGTGACTCTCTGGTTACCTCATACGTTACTGATGATACCGATGTGATACCGTAGTCTTGTCGATGTACAAACGATGT